ATCTGCCCATGTTCTTCCCATTTCAGCTAAGACTCTGGTCTCTGACTCTATGCTGAGGAGATACTGGATGTCACCATTTCTGATTTTTCTCTTCCTACTCCCACACCCTTTACACTTGATTGAACATGTCGGTCAGCAGCTGCCAAGTTTATCTGAAGATAGATGTCCACAGAGATGGAGACTTGGAGCTAGGTGGATTCCTCCCACTTTACTACATGGAACCAGAATGTGAGATGATCCAATTATCTTTTATCAAGCCACGGCATAAAGTGTCAGCATCTCGGTAAGTTCAAGGTTGTGACTGAGTGTGAGTACATGCTTGTGCCCGTGTGTGTCCTATCCTTATTGGCAATTTTGAGAAGTATACAGAGAAGTGACAGAAATGCAGTCCAATGAAAGTTGAGTTCTCTTCAATTTTTTCCTTTCCACAGCAGTCACTTCCTTTTTCTGTTTGCTCCCTGGTCCCTCAGAACAGAAGAGAGGTGTCAACATAGTTAAACCTACCAATTGGACACGTCCCTCTGATCCAATTTGGGGTATTGGAATGGGTGAGACTGTTGGGACCCACAGTTGAGTCCTGCTGGAGTCCATGGAGATGGTTCAAGTTGTCCTGAGACACTGATAACCAGGCATAAGGTCATGGTTAGTTCCCAAGAGGCTCAAGCTGGATATCACAGTCAACAAGGGCATAGTTGAATGTGCCTGAACTAGAAACCGTGAGACCCTGAGAACCACCACTCTAAATGGACTCTGTCCCACCATCAATCAATAATTCAGTTCTACCAGAGAGGAAGCATTGGTGTTCCTGATCATCAAAATAAAAAGGAAAAGAAATCATGTTTCCTAAGGAGTCAATGTTTTTTTTCTCTAGGATGCTGATGGTTCTTTTCCAGGAACAATACAGAAACTGCATTAATTCTGGGATTTGCACACCTGGTTTGTGCATGCTTCTAGTAACTGGCTTGCTACTTTGCTGCTTAACAAGGGGGTTTAACACCTTGTTGGTCACAACAGTGCGGCATGCTTCTCAGACATTCAAGAGATCCACAGGCTCATGTGTTCAGAACATGGTGAGGAACACGCAAGTTGTTTAATTGGAGTCAGTCTGTCCTTGTGAGTTTCTTTTGGAATTTAATACCTGTCCCCTCAGCAGGTCACCTTGCATAAGAGGGAGCTCATGGTGGGTCTCCTCACTTTGGGGGCAGAATTGCAGCCTTGCAATTTGCCTAACCAGTGCCTTCACATAACCTATCCCTTCTCACTGTTTCATTTTGGTGTCCTAATCTCTTTTAGTGACTCCATTTCTAGCCAAAACTTGAATGAGACATTTTTTGGGGAGGTCGTTCATGTGTGTGAATTTCTTGGTTAACTGACAGCTACTGACTGTTTGCATTGAGTGACAGATGTGGAGGTGGAATGTGATCTGAAGATGAAGGAATCCCTACCTTCAGAGTGAGAGCCTTTAGCCCAGGTACCAAAGCTGGAGGTGCACTCTGCCTTCTGTCCTGCAGCTAGGGAAGTATCTCTCCACCCTCATTCTGTGCATAAGGGGCCAGCCATCATGTGCTTGTCACATCCTAGAATCTTCGATGCCTAGACCTGGGTAATCTAAAATGGGCACCAGTTTTCATTTCTGTCTTGATATCTCATTAAGAATATTTCAAAATTATTTAAAGATTTAACACAAAATAAAATTTTATGTAATTAATTAGAACAAAAGAATCATGGGAAAAAACTAAGTCATTTAATGGACTAAGATTGTTAGTCTATCATAATTATTAACAAGGAAGCATTTTTATGTTCAAATTATGGAGGAAACTTGAGTAGTCAGAAAAGAAGAATAATGCCAATGGAAGAAGAAAAAAAAATGAGAAAATAACACTAATTCCCATATAAAAATGATATGTGGGAGTATTTTATTTTATTTTATTTTTTGGTCAGGCAGAGTTAGACAGTGAGAGAGAGAGACAGAGAGAAAGATCTTCCTTCCATTGGTTCAACCCCCAAATGGCTGCTATGGCAGGTGCATTGTGCTGATCTGAAGCCAGGAGCCAGGTGCTTTCTTCTGGTCTCCCATGCGGGTTCAGGCCCAAGCACTGGGGCCATCCTCCACTGCCTTCCTGGGCCACAACAGAGAGCTAGACTGGAAGAGGGCAACTGGGACAGAATCTGGCCCAACCGGGACTAGAACCCAATGTGCCGGCACCACAGGCAGAGGATTAGCCTAGTGAGCCACGGTGCTGGCAGTGGGAGTTATTTTTAAATTCCAAGAACTAATTTAGATGGCTAAGCTACTTATAAACAGCAGAAAATATTCAGGTGTAAAATGTAAATGAAGAGAGGAGAATTCATTACCAACACTGAAAATAAAGACACTTGAGGGACTAGCTTGGATTCTATACAATAAGACATAAGTCCTGAAGTAAATGCTCATCTTTCAAAGAAAATATATTTAACAAAGCTGCTTTCATAAGGGTTGACATATTAGAGTGGAAAATATACAAAGGGCCCAAAAATTTCCTCTGGTGAATATGGATAAAGAGACAAATGCATCCCAAAGCTGGAAAAACTGGCAGGTCGGGTGGTTATTTAAAATATTCAAAACCTATGGGAAACAGAAGTGCCTGAATGTGTCTGCCTCTGAGCAGAAACTGGATTGCTACTGGATACACCAAGCACTTCCAGAAAAGTCCAGGAGGCTGAGTGTGTGCACAACTTTTCACACCACTAGAGGGCAACATTGCTGTCTGGTCCATACATAGAGATGCACCCTACTATTTGTAGGACCTTCAAATATCTGTCCAGGAAACAGGGGTATTCTACTTCACCCCAGTTACAAAGCCTGAACATCCCTCACAGTGGTTTGGAAACACTTTGCTTCAGGAGTCAAAGAGACATCCCCAGATCTTCCATGTCCCTGTTAATGTTACCTACCCTGGTTCCCTGTGCCAGGGCTGGCACATCACTAAGTGGCAGCCTGAGTCTGACTGAGGAGTTGTTCTGAATTCCATGGTCTGACCCTTCTCCCTGATGCTGCCCCTCTCTTTAGGTGGCTGTGGAAGAACTACCAATATGTGCTGGCCTTCCATTTTGCCATATAGGAGATCAAAAAGGAATCTCAGCTACTCCCCAATCTGTCCTTGGGTTTCTCTCTATCTCTACAATTCCTTTGACAGTGATCAGTCTACCCTGTGGAGCATTCTGCACTGGCTGACCAGAGTATCATTTCATCCCTTACTACACCTGCCAGACACAGAACTATTCAGTTGCCATAATTGCAGGGACCAAGTCTACATTTTCAATGAGAGCAAAGAACCTTTTTGGAGCTCTACAAGATCCCCCAGATGAATAGGCCATGAATTCTGGAAAGAAATGTTGGAGCCTTTCCCACTTCTGGTGCTAGTGGAATGTGAATATTGACCTCACAGTCGCACAGTGATACAGAACAGATCCCAGGGGTTTTCCCGTTTGTGAGACTATAACGGGGAAGGAGAAGGAAGAAAGGGAAGGAGCAGTGGAAGCTTAGAGCCTCCACCAAATTCCTGTGTAGAGCTATGCAGCCCTCTTCCCCGACTGGGAGTAGTGACAGCTGACTACTCACAGCCTTGTGCCTTACTGGAAATACCCACAGCACAGAAAACTTTCCCTGTCTCAGAGGTTAAAAATTAAACTATAATATTTGTATGGACAAAGGAGAGGGAGGGACAGAGGAGGGAAATGGGGATGGAGAGAGCATCTCTTCAAATTTGAATCAGCCCAAAAGATGGGAGCCAGGAACTCAATTCAGATCCAAATGGGTGGCAGGTGCCTAACTACTGGAGCCATCACCTGCTGCCTCCAAGGTGTGCATTAGCAGGAAGGTAGAATCAGGAACCAGAGCCCAGGACCAGACCTAGAAACCCCCTGTGGGACATTAGCATATGACTAGTATCCTAAATGTTGGCTCCTCTCTCTCAAGGATTATTATTCACAGAGGACTGCTCTTCACACTAGCAGCATGATGTCATTACTGTCAAGTACATTAGCTGATATGAATTTGTGCTTGAAAATTCATTTTGAAGAAATCAGAGATGGTAAAGGATTGTCTTTCTTTAAAACAACCTAAGTTATGCCCTGGTAATAAATAAGTTCCAAATTATCAAGAGATCCATGCAGTAAAGATATATTTCTCTCTCAAATATTAAATTTCACGGAAGGTGGGATTTACTGGAGGTTGGAACTCTGCTCCAGAAATCACACAGGTCTCACTGCTAGTAAGAGTTTGTATGTGGCCGGCGCCGTGGCTCACTAGGATAATCCTCCGCCTTGCGGTGCCGGCACAACTGGTTCTAGTCCCCGGTCGGGACACCGGATTCTGTCCTGGTTGCCCCTTCTTCCAGGCCAGCTCTCTGCTGTGGCCGGGAGTGCCAGTGGAGGATGGCCCAAGTACTTGGGCCCTGCACCCCATGGGAGACCAGGATAAGTACCTGGCTCCTGCCATTGGATCAGCACGGTGCACCAGCTGCAGCACGCCGGTCATGACGGCCATTGGAGGGGAACCAACAGCAAAGGAAGACCTTTCTGGTCTCTCTCTCTCACTGTCCACTCTGCCTGTCAAAAAAAAAAAAGGAGTATGTATGTACCACTGATATAATTATGACTAGGATTACCTTTTCATCTGCCAAGATACCAATGCTCTATGGTGATGTCAAGAGTCTCATGACTGTGGACATAATGAAGATTTCTTTCTAACCCTGGGGAAGGTGTGGATTATGGTATCAAAGACAGATATTGTCGTGTATGAGACGAACCACATGCTACACTCTTTCCATGGAGGCTTCTAATTTTCACCACCACAGAAGGGAAATCCCTGGCCTCAAACACTTTCTCAAGACAGTGACCCCCTCCAGGTACCAAGAAGACTTTTACTTCAATAAACTGTGGTTTCACATTTTTGGCTGTTTACCTGGTTGGGTCCTTTTGTGGAAAAATTGGAGTCTGCCCTCTCAATATTTTCTTAGAGTTTCTGCCAGGAAATGTTTGATATAATGACCATATCTGACACCAGCTACCTCATCTACAATGCTGTGCATTCATTAGCACATGCCCTCCATGAAATCCTTCTGGAGAAAATGGAAAAGACATCTTTACAGGCTGCCAACCAGACCCTGCTCTTCCTAGGCAAGTAAGTCTCCTCAAAAAGCAGGGCTTTGAACACCCTGATGATATACATAGGTGCTTTATTATGGTCAACATATGATGCTGTTTTCTTTACTTGATCAGTAAGATCTGTCAGAATGGAAGATGAGCTCCTTGACATGGGCTATTGGAAGCCTGTAATTGCCATCTTGTTGGGGATAATTCTACTGTGAAAATCTCAATTTGTTCCCTTAAATTAGGTATTATTTTGGAAAAGATAAATCATAATGTAGCATGAAAACTATAATATATTCTAACTCAAATCATGAGAAAACATGGTAATATTTAAAAAATCACATCTATATCTGTTTTGGAATTTTCTCAAAATCAGAATATATGGACAGAATGACTACATCTGACAGCTGCTATTTAATCTAGAATGTTGTAGAGCAATCCTCCTTGAGACAGTTTGGTGAAAAGTGAAATGGGTTCTAAGTCATATTTTAAATGACTCTGAGAAATGAACTTGCATTAGCATAACTGCTATTACAAAATCTGCAACTATCAGGCAGCAGGAACTGTGGGTCCATTGTTGAATATGAGACCACTCAGGATGCACCTAAGCATAAGATATTCCTCCTGAGGTACAGATAGATTTTTCATCCTAGCTTCTCTGGATCCATTCCCTGTATACAGAATATGTTTATTAGCCCTTGTTTGAATGCACCAGGCATAAATGAATTAATCAAATTTGTTGAATAAATTAAATAAACCTAATATCTAGGAAAGCTAAATATGTATATTTAGAAGTTAATAATTACACCTTTCCTCCAGCTTCATCCAATCTGGAAGAAAATCAAGTTTATCAATAGTGCTGGGGATGATGTATCTCCATGAATCAAGACACCATATGACACACTATGATATCCACAACATTGTGAATTTTCCTGTGGGTCTTGGGTTGATGGTTAAAATTGCAGAGTTTTCCTCCAAGAGTGCACATGTTTATGAGCTCTTGTTGAATGTTCCCTGGATAAATAAATTAATTTAATTTGTTGAAAAAATTAAATAAACCTAATATCTAGGAAAAGGTAAATATGTAGATATAGAAAATAATAATTAACTTTCCTCCAGCTTCATAAATTCCTGAGGAACATCCAGGTTGTTTTAAAGATTTATTTGTTTATTTGAAAGTCAGAGTTTCACAGAGAGAGGAGAGGCAGAGAGAGAGAGAGAGAGAGGTCTTCCATTTGATAATTCACTCCCCAATTGGCCACAACAGCCAGAGCTATGCCAATCCAAATCAAGGATCCAGGAGCTTATTTGGGTCTCCCGTGTGGGTGCAGGGGTCCAAAGAATTGGGCCATCTTCCACTGCTTTCTCAGGCCAAAGCAGAGAGCTGGATAGTAAGTGGAGCAGCAAGGTCTCAAACTGGCAGCCATATGGAATGCTGGTACTTCAGGCCAAGGTGTTAACCTGCTGTGCCACAGCACCAGCCCAGAAAATACAGTTTACCAATAGTTCTTCACATGATATATCCTTCCACGAATCAAGACACCATACAGTGCACAATGATATCCATAACATTGTGAATTTTCCTGTGGGTCTTGGGTTGATGGTTAAAATTGCAGAGTTTTCCTAGAAGAGTGCACATGAACAATGCTTGGTCCTCAATGAAGAAATGATATAATGGCCTACTGACTTCAAGGAGGTGTGGTTCCATTTCAATAGGGTACACACAGATGGACCTGATATCCTTCTGAGACGAAATTGTGAACCTCTGAAATAAATATCAAACTTTAATTTCACTTCTTGACTATACATAATGTAGTCTTACTTACACATATTCTACATTGATGTCTATAGAAAATGAAAGTTTGTAGAAGTCATCATACTCTTAGATTGAGCATATTTGCTCCTGTAGCAGTTGAGTGAATAAAATAAATGCAGCTAATGGATGTTTTTCTTTTTATAGTGAAATGTACACAGCGTTGACATTACCTGTAGCTACCTGACTGCGCCATAGAACTCCAGAACATCTAACTCCCATTGAGTGAGGGAGGGAGAGAGGAAGGGAAGAGAGAGAGAGAGAGAGAATTTTCTAAACACCAATGTCCTTTCTCCAGAGATTGATTTTTAGCTTGTTTGTCAAAGATTAGTTCATTGTGTTTATACAGATTAATTTCTGGGGTTTCCGTTCTGTTCCATTGATCTACATACATATTAATATGACAATATTAGGCTGTTTTGATTTTAGTTTCTCTGTAGTATATCTTGAAATGTGGTATTGTGGGGTCTTCAGCTTAATTTCTATTGTTCAGTATTTCTTTAGCTATTTGAGTCTCTTGTGTTTCCCTCTAAATTTTAAGATTTATTTATTTGAAAGGCAGAGTTACAGAGAGAGATGGAGAGACAGAGAGAGGAGGAGAAAGAATCCATCTGTTGTTTCACACCCAAGATGGCCACAATTTTGCTCAACAGGGAAATATGAAGAATTTCAAACAAGGAAACATGGAGTCTTTTGCCCCTACAGATGCAGAACAGTGCATCCATGTGCAGATCACGAGTACTCAAACCAGGCGAGAAGTCACTGCCTCCCCAGGCTGGTGATTTTCTTAGCCTTTGAGGAATACCTGGGGATGTCTCTGGCCTGCATGGCTCTGTGCTTCTCAAAACAGTAACCATTTCCACCATGCTGGTCAACACCATCTCTGATTCTGGCCTTCTGAAAACCTGGGAGAACAATGAGGTGATTGCTGGTATCAGCTTTTAACTTCATCATTCCCATCTGCTCCTTGATCCAACTGGCTCTATGTGGCATCGGGTTGCGAACCTCTCCTCCATTTATTGAGTTAGATGCACACTCTGAGCAGGGTGTCTGGCTATTTGAAAGAATTATTAAGGGATTCAAAGGGAGATATAGACTCAAATACAATAATAACAGGGGACTTCAATACCCCACTTTTAGCAATGGACAGATCAAGCAGACAGAAAACCAACAAGAAAACAACAGAGATAATTGACACTATACACCAAATAGACCTAGTAGATATCTACAGAGCCTTCTACCCCACAGATACAGAGTGTGCATATTTCTGCCTGGTGCACAGAACTCTCTCTATGATAGACCATCTGCTAAGTCATAAAGGTAGCCTCAGCATATTCAAAAAAGTGAAATTATACCATGCATCTTCTCAGACCACAATGCAATGAAGCTCAAAATCAACAACTCAAGAACCTCTGTATCATATGCAAACATGGAGAATGAACAACATGATTCTGAATGACCAGTGTGCCGTAGAAGAAATCAAAAAATCTCTAAAAACAAATGAAAATGACAATACAACCTATCAAAATTTATGGGATACAGCAAAAGGAGTATTACGAGGAAAGCTTTTCAGAAAACTCTAAGATGGTGGAATAGGGAGGAAGCACACTGATAGTCCCAGAAAAGATAGTTTAATAAAGTGGAGATACTATAGTCTCAGGGAAAAAACTGAGAGAAAACCCAGTTAGGGAAAAAAACTGAGAGAAAACTCTTCCAGAACTAGTGGGACACGGTGGACCTACATGGAGGGCACAGGCGCCCAGGGCTTGGGACCCCAGCCACCTCATCTATGCACCAGCACTGGAAAGGGAGGTGAGGCGAAAACCACAGTAGCCTGAGACACTGGCAGAAAAGCAGCAGGAAGTGCCTAGAGGGGAGGAGGCTTGAAGCCCCATGGGGGAAAGTTCACCAGCCTAACTAGAGGAGAGAAAATAAGTAAATAAAAGGGACAAGTACAGACACGATTCTCTCCACTTACCTTAAAAAGGCAGGGAAAAATGCAGCTGGCACCATTTTGGACATACATAAAAGCTGTGCCAGCTCAGGGCTGTGCCCACCCTCAGCCAAGCAGAAAAACCTGACTCTGGTGGGGAGAAATGACAGGAGACTAAGATCCAGTGACTATGTGGAGCTTATGAACTGGGACTGTGAAAAAAAAAAAAAAACTGAGGGTGTGTGGGAGAATTCACAGTGTGCCTGAGATGTGAGTACTCTCAGTGGGAGAAGCCAAAAACCCAGTAACCTCGGCAACCCGATGGGAGACATTGCAGGGGAATCTGATTACACAGAGGACTGCACAGATCCTTTGTGAGGTTTTTGGGACAGAGCAGATAAATATTATACCCGCTGGAGCTAGCGCTCAAGTATTGATTGTCATCAAGGAGAAGAGCTAAGCTGAGCAGAATTATTTTCCCTTCTGAAAATAAAGAGAGAGAGAGACAGAGAGAGACAGAGAGAGAGACAGAGAGAGAGGTTTTACCACGCCAAACATGGGTGTGTCACATTTGGCACACCTTTAACCCTGAAGAACTGAACAGAGCTCTCTGGCCACACCTACCACAAGCCTCTAGAGATTCACCAAAAGCAGACAGTCCACTTAATCTAGAGTCATATTATAATCAGAAAAGCCACCACGGCGAGGGAAAAAAAGAAGAAACCAAAGAATATTTATACAATGCCAAAAAACAAATGCAGAAACAGAGGAAACAAGAACAAGGAAGACATTATGATGCTCCCAAATGGACATGAAACTCCAATACAAGATTATGAAGACGATGAGATAGAAGAAATGCAAGATACGAATTTCAAAAAATTTATGATAAGAACATCTAGAAGTTATCAAAAACAAATGCATGAACTACCGAAATCCATTCTGGAAGTACAGAAAAATCTCTCTCCTGAAAATGAAATCTTAAGGACGAATCAAATGAAATGAGGAATTTAATAGAACATGAAATTGAGATATTGAAGAGACATCAAAATGAAATGAAGAATTCAATAGAACAAATGACAAACACATTGGAGAGCATTAAAAACAGAATCAGTGAGATAGAAGAGAGAATATCAGACTTAGAAGACAGAGCACAGGAAAGTATACAGCCAAACCAAAGACAAGAAGAGTAATTAGAAATCTAAAAATATTGTTGGGAATCTACAGGATACTATTAAAAACCCAACATTCGGATTCTAGGAGTTCCTGAGGCATGGAGAGAGAAACT